GCTTCAGGAAGTATTAGTGATTCAGTAGTGGATTCAATTTCCTCTGAAATGGAGTAACAGTAGGGGGAAATTAGCATGGGGAAATTTTTTTTTAGTTTTTGTAGTGACCCATACAACTCTGATCTTGTACAACAGCTCATAGAACAACCAAAAACCCAGAGACAATCCTGCGTTCATATTATGGACATATAAAATAGCACACTTATTCATTGTAACAGTGACTCTGAAAACTGAGAAGCAATCTAATTAGACACTGGCTATGTACACGCTACAGCTTAGGTGAGTATAAATTATGTCACTCAGGGGTGTGAATAAGCCACCCCCCCGAGTGACGTAAATTACACCGACCTAAGTGCTTGTGTGGACAGCGCTATGTTGGTAGGAGAGCTTCTCCCGCTGACGTAGCTACCGCCACTCATTGGGGGTGGATTAATTAAGTCAATGGGAGAGGTCTCTCCCATCAGCTTCAAGTATCTGCACTAACAGCAGTACAATGGTCCAACCCTACGCTGTAGTGTTACCATAGCCTAATGTAGTCGATCGACATTTCTCTAGCATTTTCACCACATTGCACCAATCTAAATTGGTACTACAAACTACTCCTTCCTTCTTTGAAACCGTAGTCAGTCACTGGAAGAAGACAGGCTGTTCCTTACTGAACCCTAAAATGACCATAATAGAGGTCGTGTGACGCTAGGAAACTCTCAGACATGTAGCTACCATGTGTAAGGATCAGAACAAACAAACAAACAAAAAAGAGGTAGCTTGCATGCATCAGCATGTGGTGACAGATCGTACTAGCATATCCTAGATACATATGTAGAAAACCAAAGGCACACATTCCAGAGCGGTTCTCGACGGCACAGGAAAATTGCCCCGATATGGAAGTAGTGGATTTAATATATTCACAGGTGTGAACAGACCACTTTTGTGAATCTAGTCCCATGTGTTCTAATGGGTGGTTAATCAATTGCCCATCAGGTCAGTAGGTTTCTTATTATCATAGTTCCTAACTGTCAGGGTGGTTAAACAC